GTTATATACCTTCGAAATGTTGAATTCCATACGTCCAATAAGCCGCTGAACCTAAAAAAGAAAAAAAACGAAACATTAATTTATGTTTCGTGAAAAAAATTAAATTAAAGAAACATTTCGAAGTTACATACCTTCGAAATGTTGAATTCCATACGTCCAATGAGCTGCTGAACCTAAAAAAGAAAAAAAAATGAAACATTAATAACCGTTTCGTTGAAAAAAATAAAAATAAAAAATATTTTGAAGTATACCTTCGAAATATTGAATTCCGGTCTGTCCAATGGCCGCCGAACCTAAAAAAAAAAAATGAAGCGTTAATAAACACTTCGTTGAAAAATAAAATAAAAAAATTTCGAAGTATACCTTCGAAATATTCACTTTCGTTTTCCCTTTCCCTTTCGTTCTCACCCTTCCCTTTCGTCTTCTCTTTCGTTTTCTCTTTTCCTTTACATTTTTCACCTTCCCCTTTCATTTTTCACATTCCCCTTTCGTTTTTCACCTTTCCCTTTCGTTCTCATCTTTCTCTTTCCTTTCATTCTCACCTTTCCCTTTCATTCCTTTAACCTATAAAAAAACAAAAAATAAACGAAACTTAAATAATGTTTCGTTATATAATAAAAGAACACCCCACCAAATGCCCGGAGTTTCCTTTGTCTCCTCCAATTACTTGGATGGGTTCTTTAATTCATTCACCTTTGCCAAGCACTTTCTTTTTGAACTTCTTAACCATTTTAGTTCCAATTTGGCAGAAGTGGATGTTAAGGTGATCTATAAAAAAAATTGAAACGTTAGTTAACGTTTCGTTAAGAAATAAAGAAAAAAATATAAACAAAAACAAATTTTCCTTTATTACCTTCCACCCAAAGTCTGGTTCGTGAATTCGTTCCGGCGTTCCTACAAAAAGTAAAGGAAAGAAACGTTTAATATCGTTTCTTTAAAAAAAAACAATAAATTAAGTTTCGCAACGATTCGTTGCAAAACTCACTGGGTCGTTTCATCCAAACGTCCAGAACCTACAAAAAGAAGGAAAGAAACGTTAGTTAACGTTTCTTTTAATAAAAAAAAAATAAAAAATTAAGTATCGCAATGTAACATTGCGAAACTTACCAGTTCGTTTTTATCATTCTAACGTCCGGAACCTACAAAAAGTAAAAAAGAAACGTTAATATAAACGTTTCTTATAATAAAAAAAATAAAAATTAAGTTTCGCAATGTAATATTGCGAAACTTACCATCATCCTAACG